GTTTCCATCTGTGATATTTGGCTATCGTTCCTATGGCTCAGAGGCTTAAAGTATTAGTTAATGGCACAAGAAAGTAGAGATCATGGGTTCGATTCCCAGCAGAAGACCGAAGGAGTGCGCAGTACCGAAGTGTTCCAATGGGATGAAGCGCTTGTTAGGGGTTTATCCGGATTTGTAGCTAAAATATGCGGCTTATAATATAGTTCTGACGAACAAATAAACTAATGGTTAATTAGCATTGTATCAGTAACAGTAATTGACTCAGAAAATTCACCTATTTGTTTGGTCAACTTAAGCAAAAGTGCGCAGACGTATGATACATTGGGTATCAATACTTGCTACAACCAACGTATTTACCTGTAGATGTAGCACCCCTAATCGTATATCAACTGGCACCCATGGCTTTAGTGGGCACATGTATATGGTACAGAATAACATTCAAAGTAAGAGTACGCTTGCGTAATCGAAAACTTATATGACATAACATAAAAGTTTACAAAACGTATAATTAATTTCATATTCAATTAGCCAATTTCTATACCTTTTCAATAAAAATTACATTGTGCCGGTAACGACACAAGACAGCCGAGAGCTGTAAACACACTCGATTCACGTTAATGCTAATAAATATAACCCTGCTGAAAAAACTCATTTGGTTGCACATCAGTTTTATTGATGGACAGTTTGTTACGAATAACCCCAGTACTTAGCATATTTCCAATTCTGCCTGGGTGAATAAGTCGACTAGGTTCTAGTTCCTCTCAATCATTTGTGCTCAAAAGTTATCAGAGTTCGGAACAGGTGGAAAGGTTACCACATCAATGTTAGACCTGCTGCTTTTGAGAAACATGTTGATACCTATACCATTGCAACATTATGCGTTACTATTTATCCTTGTTGACGGCTTTTGTGTTCCTTCTGAATAATCACCACATGTGGATGAATCTAACAAATTGAGCAATAGACTTCAGTTATCTTGTGATTCTTTCTAATAGTAATCAGACATGCGCCCGCAATTGTGAAACGAACAACACATACCGTTACGTAAGCCGCGTCATAAATCTGAATTTGTCGGACAGCTTGCACTTTAACCCAGTGTACTGTAGCGAAATTTACAGCGTTAGTGTACATTCAATACATGGACTTAAAATGCGCCAACACACTTTGTTTATTAATTGTTTGGTGCGTCGTTTTGACACACCGGTTGTGTGGATGGATTATAATACGCGCTTGCAATCGCTATACGCATTGCGGAAACCTTAAGCAGTTTGCTTACTGGGAACGTTATCCAGGATACAGCTATATATTGCACATTATTCGCCCGAGAACACCTCACTTCATGAAAAGTCTCAAACTAATTTTATGGCATTAGGCTCACATCGCAGTCCCTGCAACCGAATGCCTTTGGGGGAATGTAATCCGAGCTGCGAATATTCTAATCACTGTGCCAAGGTAGACAGCGCGTGTCACAACGTTTATTGTCTGCTTAACTTTATCCTTATGCAGAACTCGTTTTATGAATGGATTAAGACGCGCAGTCTTCAGGTGTGTCACGATTCGCCATGTACTGATCCTTAACTCCTGGTGCAGGTAAATATTGCAGGTCGATCGGTGGCTAAACGGGTAAGGGGTTTATGTACTATTCCATTGGATGCGGGTTTAATGCAGCTACCCTCGTTACATCACTGTGAATAAGTTCGAGGATTGGCGTGATTTCGTGTACAAGAATCAAAACATTCATCTGCTTGTTATCTGAATTAGGAATCTTGTAATATTACAGAGCGGAAGCAAAATCGATTCCTATTTTGGTTTTAAGAACGCTACTTATAGTTTCCTCAACAGTACAAAAACGAAGTAGGTAGGTCACGCCTGGTCGTAATATTTTTTTGTTTCGGAAGAATTTGCGGATCCACCTCTCTTGATATTTTTGTTAAGCGGGTACATTTACAAAGAAATTCACTCTTGCTTGTACGAGGTCTTTCAGAGCTTAACTTATCTTACTCAGTATAACAATTCATTACGCATTGCAAGCTGAAATCTCCAAACGTAGATATGATCTATTGAAACGGAATACGCATCCATCGGCCAAAATGAAGTCAAGGATTCAGCTACTAAATATAACGGAATGTGTTTGCTTCAACTATTTGCCAAAGAGCTGGCAAATTGGATTTAATCATGGTGAACGAAACCAACTAAATATTTAACTGGAGTACTTGTAATTTATTTGTATTGTGCTGGGATTACGAAAGCAAAAACGTGTCCGGATTTCCATGACGAAACAAGCGGACAAAGAAAATGATTAGACGCAAAAGCATCTTCGCCTATACGGAAGTACGAACCTGAATTGCTAGCGGAATCGCTTATTGTTTCAAACATAGCTTATACTAGGTGTATCAGATCTGACCAACGAAACATCCACTCATTTTGCACTTGTTCGAGTTTGCTTGCCTTAGGCTTCATTTTGCGTCTAGCAGGTGTGTGGTATGTTATGCATATGCGTCCATTCCTCGTGCGCATACAAATGCGGTCCCAAGTGTTTCTAATACTTGGGGTATAATTGCAATCTGTTGTTGGCTAGCTGCTGCTTCGCTCCCTGGCACTGTCCTACTACTGAGAGCTGGTGCAGTGGTGTCTGCCTTTAGTCCATCACTTAACTCCCCGCAATATTTCTCGCTTCAGCTTTCTTCGCTAAGTGTATTTCTGACCATCAGGGATGCGCACTGTGCGAAAGAGTTTCCTCTTCTCATCCATGCTACTTACTTAACTATGGGCATGTATTCGCCTTGAATCTCCTTGCCGAGTGATGGTATATACTGGGTCACGCCGGTTGACCACATCCTACTTCCCTTCCAGTTCGGGATCAGTTTCTTCTCCTTTGGGCCAAAGTGGCAGCCCGTTAATGATCTTTGCATTATTCCATCAAACCGCTCGAAAATCCGACACGATTAAAAATTATGGGTATGAGACTTCTCCATTCTCTGCACCTGAGTTGCTTTCAGGTTACGGTTGGTTGCATCGCTGCCTCTTTGGGAGATATTCGGCAAGTTGGCCACATTCCAACTTTAGATCCATAGGTAGGCGAAGTGCTCGACCGTATATCAATTGGTATGGTGATTTCTTTATAGAGGCCTGTTTAGATGCTCCTTGGGTTAGCAACGGCAGTGGCATAGTTTTATCTCATTCTTAATACTTTGCCACTAGTGACCCTTAAATGGTTCTATTGTTATGCTGCGTGTGGTATGGAGTTGTCCACACTCTCTTAGTACTACGTTTCTCCAATTGGTTCCGGAATTCCACACTCTCGGAGCACGGACCCTGGTCTGTTAATATGGTCTTTGAGATTCCGTGATCTGCTGTCGAATGCTTCAGGACGCATGGGTAATGGTGGTCGTCTGTTTATCCGGAATTCCAGTAGCTACAATACAGTGCGTGAAGTGTTCCGTCATCAACAAATTGGATTGGTTGTCCTGCCTGGTCAATGTAGACGGTCCCATCACATTGGTCGACCATATGTCAACAATCTCCGACACCCTAGTCAATATCAGTCGTTGTTGTGCGTTGTGTGTCTTGTGTTGTTGTGTGTCTTCAAAAGCTGAGAATAGTTGCACGTAAACACATATGTCTCGAAGTCCCTCTTCGTCCCTGGCCAATAGTCGTGTTGTTTCAGCTGACTGTAGGTCCTGGTGTGTGCCATCACCTGACAATAAACCACCGGCCTCCACCATTGATTTTATCGGAATTACCGGCACCGCGTTGTTTATACCACCTGGTACCCACCTTAGGATCTTGGCTTCATGCTTTAGTACATTTCCAAGATTTCTTGCAAACGGTCCTGGCTGCTTTTGTTGGCGCTTGCTTATGGCTGATTGACCGGTAGTTCATGCAATAATCACTTAACTTAAGAATTTCTCACCAAAATGTACGGCCGGCAACAGCCCAGATACTTCAAAAACAGCATATCTATAATACTGAAAGCCACAATAGCCAAGACATCTCTGTATATCACGCGTGACAAAAGTAAGCTGCATGTTTGTTTTCTTTTACCGGCACTGTTTTATCGTAAAATCCGAGTCTTGAAAGCGTTTTGAAAGGTTTTTGGCATCACAAATGCACCATAGATAAACGCGTTGGTCATCCGATGTTACACTAGAAGCACTATTTTCAATATCAGCTTGGCTTTTTCCCTTAGAACATGGAATCGCTTAGCGATGAACATGGTAAGCGCTTTCCCTATGACCTTGAAGTCATCGAGCATAGTCACAGTGGCAAGCATACGTCTTCTATGACGGGTAAATTTTGCTGGTTTCTGCAGCATGAGGGCTTTGGATAATAGAAGCATTTGTCTCGGCGAAGTCATCAATTCCCAGTGCCCAGCTGCATTCAGTAGTTAGCGACGAGTGTCGCAATGGTGCTTTAAAGTTATTTGGCAAAAAGTGGCAGCCTGTATAGGTTGTGATACAGTACACTTAGATATAATCAGTACGACGTAGACTTGTAGTTACGGAAAATAAGCATAAGATTATAGCAAACTAAACTGACGTGGTACGTAACATCGGATCACAATGCTACCACCAGTAGAGATTATTATATAATTTAAGGACATTGACACTTCTGTTGGTGAAAATAAAATTCCTTTCCTGCAGAGAGTAATTAAACAAAGTTTGTCTATTACAATTTCACTTAACTAATCGCCTTTTCTGGTGGCTAGCTTTGTTGAGCCGAAGTAAAGTCCATTACATTTTTTTCATAAAATTTCGCGAGTAACACATAGGAAAATTGGTTCGGTCGAGCAAATTTAACTGAAAGATGTAACTGAAATCCTCTTTGTTATTAATCGGTTCCCTGAAAGCCAATTAGACTTGGCTAAATTTGGAGAATTGCAACAACAATTTACAGAGCAGTAATGTTACAGCTCCTTGCAGCCGAATGATAAAATTCATGTACTTACGTCGAATGTATGAGCTTGCATTTATACCTACACGTTTATCCCCAAAACAACATCAGGATATAATCCAAATGAAATCAGATATATCTAGTGGCTGAAGTGCATTTGTGAGGATTAGCTTACTTCGTGCAAAAACTAAAGCTGTTTATGGTGTCATATCGCATTCCTAAAAGATCTGATAATTCAAATAATTATACATATGAATTTTTCGTAAATCTCAAGCAGTCAAAACCAACATAGCGAGCGTTTATAGACACAATATACTTGTAGCTTACCGGTTGTTGACGCAACAGCTGTAGGGGTTGGAGAGGTTGAATTCATTGTTGTGCTGTCAGTACCTATGATATAACGTTAAACAGAGAACATGTGGTGAGCTGCAGAAGGCTAGTCACTGTATCCCGTGTCGATCATAATGATGAAGATAAGCAACGGAAGTTGGGAGGCAAACTTAAAATGATTTTTATACGTGGGGTCAGAAATGAATCATAACAGAACTAAGAATTCTTTGTGTGAACATGCTCTGATAAAACATTTCGCTTCACTACATGCTATACACCTTATTGGCTGAATAGCGTTATGTTAAGCCAGATAGGCCAGGCCGCTCCGATTGTGTGTTCGCAAAAATCTGTCCGTCTCCGATTGGTCAATCAAAAAGCAAAGCCGGTGACACGGCTTAATGGCTGCCAGATAGGAGATATCACAGAGCACAGAGCACCGATATCTATTTCTTCGTGGCGTGCTTCCTGAACGTTCGCTCTGGTCTTCTATCTGTTAAGTACCAATATAACTATTATATTTTGCACGAACGATCTTTTGTTTAACCCATACGATTATCCTGCTTGCTTTTGGAAAACTGCTGGCGTTTGCTCCGTTTAGGTTGCACTGCTCCATTTGTTATCTTATCTTCCTAACAGATCATTGTTTGACTCGGCAACAATCCGTCCCTATTCTGAGCCGACAATCAGCTTAGGGATTAGTTGGTGGAGTACTGAGCTTATCTTGTTCAGTAAGCCCCCTCGATGACAGTTTGAACTTCCGGAAGTATTTCCAAATGGGTGGTTCGAGCATCTTTTCTTCTGTCGAACCAAGTCTAGCGCCTAAGTTGATTGATGTGGTGAACACATCTGTCATCGCGTACAGCCACTTCATTGCAGACGTGGCCAAGTCATTTTACAGAAAGGCATGTGCCGGGTGATTTCGTTGTTCCGATAGTCATTTGCCGAAACCTGTCCTCTAACGAAAACTAGTAGGGTAACGTTACTTTTTTCGTTGTATTGATGTTCTATAATTCAATTTCTTTCAGAGTTACTTCTCTCCAAAATTAATCTTTCATCGTCGTTTTGGCACGTGGTCCTAGATAAGGAATCCCGTTTCCTGACCAGGTGGAACACCCACTTCGGGCGATATTGCTCGCAAAGTTTACTGCATGGTTTACAGGCCTCTAGCGAAAGTTTTATGATATGGTCATTGCAGGCTGTTGATGGTTAGGACGGTGTACCTTGTGGAGCATATGCTGTGCTGGTTTACGGTTTATGCATTCAGGAACGTAATCTTAACCAGCACTGCATTTTATAGTGTTGTGGCTGTGATGGGATTGTTAGAACATAACCAGCGGATGGATCATCCGAGCGAGCCGGCAGCCAATTGGAGGCGGACGCAACGGATTTGACTAGTGGACTCGGATTGTCAGTTAAGTGTTGAGTGATGCGCCGTCTTTCAAATGAAGCAAAATTGGAACCTAATCGATTATGGTGGGTGGTACTTTATGGACTCGATCTTGCAAATTATATTGGGAAGTTTGTCTTGCCAAATGTGTTGCAATATTTGCCAACTTGACTTTGATGAATAAACACTTGTCCCTGAGGTACTGAATTCATGTTGCATGGTTGCAGCGAAGGCAGAACCGAACCCTACCAGCGGGGCTCGGATGTTGTTTGGATCACCTACCTCTATCCAAATGTCTTCCCCACTGAATATGGATGGACGGAACATGGCGAGTAATTGGCGTCTATGGAAGGGCAAGTGGATGCAATTCTGCGCCTTGGTGTTTGGACGAGCAGTCGATGGCGTATCGCTTGGACATATTTCGGCACGCAGCCAGAGAAGATCCGCGACGAGTGGTAGAGATATTGCAATACAAAAAAGACATTTATCTTAATAATTTAGAGAAGGTCCTTGCCAAGTTCGGTGAATTTTGCGAGGTTAAACCAACGAGACCTGCCACCTCTATCTTTCTTTTCGAGCAACAGAGGCCCATGCCAATTCGTCGGAACGGTCGAAGTACAGATGTTGGCCTACTCATGCAATTTCTGTAAATGCATGCGTGACAGTCTCACGCGATTGGATTGTTCTGAGAATCAATGATGGAAATATGACAAAGCGGCTTTTGCGACAACGCAAATTATCACTCCAATTGGGCAGGGATTTTTGCAACAGTGAATACTTTAGCATCTATCAGTACCAAAAAATGAAACTCGTAAATGATGCAGAGCTGTGTGCCATTTTCGGATGCGACACAGCGAAGGCCATCAACGTGAGATAGGAGAACAGCAAATTTTGAACCGCACAATACACGAGTTTAGGCGAACAATGTCCGGCGTGTGGTCGGAGATAGGCCAAATGTGGACAATGGGACCACTTTTCTCTTTGCTGCCGATCTACCAATGTGAGTACATTCTCCCGTGACAAGTCACTATTAGATGCAGAACATTCCATTGACAACATGTCCCGGAGAGTGTCGTAAAAATGTCTACGCAAGTCTTTTGATAGGAAGAAATGTAGTACGATTTCATTTGGACACCGGAGCTGCTGTCAGCATTCTAATAAGGAAGCATTATCCCGGTCTGTGTATTCGACCCAATCAAGATGGCCTGCGCATGTGAAATGTTTCCAGACTTCATCCAAAGGAATCAGCTTCAATCCAATTTGTTGAGATAAGAGAAGGAGCCCCACATCGACTGGAGTAAGTGATCGTTGTGTAGGAGCTTAGGGGAATTCTCGACATTGATTCGACCAGATCTCTCGATATGGTTGTTTTTAATCGTGATCGTTTCGTGCATGCTTGTCAGGGAGAAACCGATATTAGTGTTCAGTATTCGTCTGTGTTTAATCCGGGTTTAGAAAAGTTTGAGGGAACCGCTTACTTTCCTTAAATCCTTTTATATAAACGACATCACTATGGGTTAGGAGAGTACCATCTGCACTGATAGATTCCTCGCCGACTCGAGCAAAGTAGTAAATTGCTTTTATTGCCAAAGTCGATGAGCTAACCGAACGGGTAAGTCAGGTCGTAATCATTACGAAGAAGACGGAAGAACCACGCGTGTGTATTGACCCGAAACCGTTGAATGAGGCCTTGCGTAAAGAGCATTATGCACTGCCTACTCTAGAAGAAATTTTGCCGCGTTTGGCCAAAGCTAAGTGTTTTACGAATGTTGACCTTTCTTCGGCATCCTTGCCCATGTTCCTATATGAGGAACCTAGTTTTCTTACTGCCTTTGCCATACCGTTGGAGCTGTATCGTCGGCTGCGTTTCCGTTTAGTTTAAATTTATCGAGTAAAATTTGTAAAAAGCGATTGGTGCAAGCGGTAGACGATTTCGTTTGTGTGCTGTACGTGGCGGTAGATGTTTTGATCTAGGGCTTGACAAAAGAAGACCATGACACTAATTTTCACCGTTTCCTGCACTGTTGTGTGCAAAAGTACATATAGTTTAAACTTGAGAAAATTGAATTACGGAAGATGAAATGATTTTCCATGGATATTTGCTAACAATCCAAGGGGTCAGGGTCGATCCAGGAAAAATTAATGTAATTCGAGAGATACCACCACCTAACTACTTTAAGGGGTGAATTACTTGAGCCATTTTATGCTGAAATCATGAAGCCGAGAAGGAAGTTAACTCACAAAGGAGTAAAATGAAGTTGGGGAAAAGAATAGAAGACCGCATTTAAAAGCATGAAGTAACTCATCGGCAACGCGCCCGTATCATCAGTAAAGATCCAGCGCAGCCTTTGGAGGTACAGTGTGATAGTAGTCAATACGGAATAGGTGCTGTTCTATTATGGAATGGAAAACCTTTGGATTTTCATAGTTGAGCACTCACCGTGATCAAGCAGCGCTATGCGCAGATTGAGAAGGAGATGCTAACGGTAGCCTATGTCTTCGAGCGTTTCAACGAATATACTTTCAGAAGAAAGGCAAATGTGTATACCGAGCACAAATCGCTTGTGTCAGTAGTCGGGAAGACGCTTCACGCAATTCCTCGCCGCCATCTGCGTATGCTTATCCGGCTTAGAAATACAATATAAACCTTGTGTAGACGTGTGGGGTACAGATTTTCAACGCGAATCTGCTATCAGAAGCTCATCTGTCGGTACCTACGCATAATCCGGAAGACGTCGGAGCAGTAACCAAAGTACAACCTCAGACAGTACCAGAAGCTCCCCTAAAGGAAATAAGGCGCCGCAAAGAAGCAGCTTTAGGAAACATTATTCCAAATGAGTGAGCAGAGGGAAAGAATCAGATACCGAAGGAACTGATACCCTACTTCAATATTCGGGATGAACTTTCTGTCTACGATGGTTTGCTGTTCAATAAAAGCCGTATTCATGTCTCATCCCTGCTCCGAGGAGAGATGCGTTCATGTTGCTCTACTAGATGCCAACCATACCACTTACCGAGCAAGAGAACTGAGCGTTTGGCCAGGAAGGACGGATCAAATATGAGCTCATGTATCGAATTGTACGACATGTTTTCACACCAGATCCGGCAGACGAGGGAACGAATGATGCTACATGATGTCCGTGAACAGACATTTTCAACACGTGACGCTGTATTTATTCAGTGATAACGGGAGAGATTGCCTACTCACGGTGGATTACTATAGTGATTGTCTTGAAACCGAGTTGCTCGCCACTACGACCACAGAGGCAGTACTCAACAAGCTCAGATGTTAGTTCGCGCAGCAAGATATACCGGAGGAGCTGGTTTCCGACAATGGACCCCAGTTTACCAGCGCTGCGTTCCAGGCCTTCGCAACCAAGTGTAAATTAGTGCACCAACAAATCAGTCCATCTCACAGTCTATCGAATGGGAAAACGGAGTAGGCGGTAATGCATCCAAGCGACTGTTTTGAAAGGCTGGAGCAACTGGCCAGGACCCGTGCCTCATCTTGGAGGATCGCAACGCTCCTTCAAGGCATATCGGTTTGAGCCCAGTACAGTACCTAATAAGCCGAAGGACTACAACGGATACAGGCATCTCACACATTTTTGCGCCTAGTTTTGCCACACCATGTGAGGTTACAGAACAGTATATGACGACGAATGACCATGCA